TCAATTCAATTTGAAAAAATCAAATCAAATTCAAATTGCTTAAATATTTGATTTGATTCGATTTTGAGGAACCCTACCTAATAATATTCAATAGTAGGTAGCATAAAATTAACTTTTGAGAATACAAAGCAAATTGCATTAACTAGGTATAGGTAATACCTTTCAACTAAGTATAAAATAATCAATTTCTATTATTATGGTATTGCAAAGAAGCTATTTATGGTAAGCATCTCTTGATGATGTGAAAAGTGATACTTGGTGTTCATTTTGTTATAAATATAAATGCAAACAATTATGTTAAGAAATTGTAACAAGTTATCTTGGTTCACCATCTGAAAATCGCAGGCCAGATTTATTGAAAATTTCTGAACAACTTAAAGGATTAGAACTTGATATATATTACTCAGAATATAGTTTTACAATTGAAGTGCAAGGTGAACAACACGAAAAATTTATAAGTTCTTTTATAGAGGCGATCCCAATAATTTTATCAAACAACAAGCATAAGATCAACTCAAGAAAGAATTATGCAAAAAGAATCAGATTGCTTTAGTATTATAAAACTCATATATAATTATTCCAGGATATCTTTGAGAATTGGGTCTTATTAAATAAACATAAAAACTTTAATTACATTTGTGTAATTTATTAATCAAAAATTATTACATATAATTTTAGTTGAGAAAAAAAATATCAATTATATATATTATAGACAAATTAATTTTGCTTTTATTTTTCTAAATATTTAATAATAAAAGTAATTTCTTCTCATGAATTTAAAATGCTTTATGATGATGTTTGCTAAATATTGATTCATTAGCTACTTTTTTTATTTGCAGGTTTTTTGCCTTTACTCTTGCTACTCGGCTCTGCCTGGTCTTAGAATACTAAAGTGATATTAGAGGATTGTAAAATAAACTGACAAATTCTGACCAATACTGTTAATGCTGCTTGCCTTTCACTAGCTCTAAAAGATCTAAACCATTAGCCAGATTCTTCTTCATCAGCCATCTTAAAACTTCAATTTCTTGCTTTATGATAAATTCTTCTTAAGTTCCTTTTAATATTTTGCACTAACCTCACTTTTATAAAATATAACATAAGATAAGACAATACGAATGACAAATATAGTTTGATTCATAACTTCAAGGCATATGTTTTCAAATCTACAAACGAGTATTTTAATTATCATTTGTGCTTTACCAAATTCAGGTGCTAAAATATTCTTCAAATGCTTATCCTATTAAAAATACGATTTTGAGTTATAAAAAAATATGACACAAACAACCAAAAATATACAAACCTCTATAATTATCATAGAAACTCCTTTTTGATCTACCACATATTCAAGTATTGCTATCATTATCTTATCACTAATGGATAACTGAAAGGATTCTTTGACTCTAGATTAAATACGATGCGAATATAAGAAATCATTGAATATATAACAAGCAAAAGCATTTTCTATTAATGTTAACCTAATTATTAAGGGCTAATCTTATAAATCAATAACTTTAATTAGAATATTATTTATTAGTGTGTTAGTCTTAGATTCCTTTGTGCCTATATTAATGTTTGCATTCACAGCAACTCTATGCAGATTGTAAAGGAATATCTTAACATTTCTGGGAGCGTCAAATTGTTAACATTGAAGTTTGGTCTCTGAAGCATGTTATTAAAAATGTTAGGAGAAAATATTTTTGGAGAATGTTCGTCGCTAAACGTTAATATTAAAAATTATAAGTATATCTATTAAATGGTTTATTAGTATAACGTATTTCCTACCTTGAATATTAGATATGACTTCATTCTTGTTAAAAGCCAGTACAAAAATCACATTTAGTGTCTTCATATCTTCTTCTGAGTATTTAGATGACGAAGAAGTGAGATCCTTTAATTCATAGCTGAAACAGAAATCAGATAAGAAGCCAGAACTTATCTTTCCTATAAAAAATTTTCGCTCAAATATTACCATTATTTTTCTGTGTAAAATTTTCGTAAAAATGAGCCTTTCACAGAATTCGTATAAATGATATGAAAATTTTCATGATTAAAGAATATAAATTCCGTAAAAATAAGCCCTTCATAGAATAAATATGGAAAACAAAATACAGATCAACTTTTTTTATAGGGCTTTAAGAACTTGATAGCTCTTATAAGATCTGTTTTGTCTAAAGATGCCAGCCGAAACTCCCTCAAAATAATTTCGTCATATCCCTTACTATGTTTTTAATATAGTTTTGGCTA